AGTTCTTATAACTAGAACAAATCTACATTAGGCCTACATTCTACAATAGTTCTCATAACTAGAAGGAATCTACATTATGCCTACGTTATGAACAATAGTTCTCATAACTAGAACGAATCTACATTAGGCCTACATTCTACAATAGTTCTCATAACTAGAACGAATCTACATTAGGCCTACGTTATGAACAATAGTTCTCATAACTAGAAGGAATCTACATTATGCCTACGTTATGAACAATAGTTCTCATAACTAGAACGAATCTACATTAGGCCTACGTTATGAACAATAGTTCTCTTAGCTAGAACGAATCTACATTAGGCCTACGTTATGAACAATAGTTCTCATAACTAGAACGAATCTACATTAGGCCTACGTTATGAACAATAGTTCTCTTAACTAGAACGAATCTACATTATGCCTACGTTATGAACAATAGTTCTCATAACTAGAACGAATCTACATTAGGCCTACGTTATGAACAATAGTTCTCATAACTTTGTTGAAATTTTGTTGTCGGTTGTTTTCCCAAAGGCAATATCGGGTTATCTGTAAAAAATTATATTGCACATGTATCAAGTTCAAATCATAAAAGTTATAAATTCCGGAAAGTTTCGTCAGCAACGTTGTCAGCATCGATTGTCAGTGACCGACAACCGTGTAATGGTTCCAAGTCATTTTTCTTATTTGTGGTTGCTTCCCCTCCCTTAGCCTACGTGTGTTATCAATGGGTTAGCAGGAAGAGAGCTCTGACTAAAGGGAAATTACCACTATTGATAGTGATGAAATGTGCACTCTTGGTCATTTACTCTCAAGGAGGGACATCGTGGTGAAAAGGTCAGAGGGTCAGAGGGTGAGGAGTAAGAATGGACCCGTTCAGGTGACAACAATTTAAAAGGTCACAATATAAAAGATCACAATATAAAAGGTCACAATATAAAAGGTCACAATTTAAAAGGTCACAATATAAAAGAAGAATGAAAAAAAGTTAAAAACAGCACTGAAAATTGTGCTCATCTTAAATAACACATTTCCTAACAATCTTCTACTTAGATTATGGAAGAAATGCCCTATTGATAAAGATGATATGATTGGTCGTCATGATTTTTTAAAAAAAGTAAGAGAGGTCTTCATTAAACTCACAGCCCATAATGTTACTCAAACCTCATAATCCCTACCCATACATTTAACAATTGCTTTAACAGTTACCATCATATATTAAATTATTAACAGATATTGTGAAAAAAAAGTGAGTTTTCTTTAATGAAAAGATTGCTATATTTAACATTGAGCTCAGCTCTTCATTATGTCAAACATTTTAGGCCATTTTTTACCTACCTCCCTCCCCTTCTCAAACAACTGTCCAACGTCCAAGGACCCCCCCCCCCCCATAATTGATTAGGTCAATAATTGTTTATCCCCACCCCACTCAAGAAAAGAACAATAAGAAAATAAATATGGATCTTTTTAAATTCTTTTTAGGATGGGGAACAAAAAAAATTATCACATTTTTAAAANAAAAATAATTTTTTTTTTTTTTTTTTTGCAAAATTTATTAAAAGAATTAATGTCTAAGCATTATTGTTAGTAAATTTATTGTGCATTTTTTTTTACTTTTACTCTCTGCGTTGATAAGAAAAATGTTCATTTTTTGCTATTGCGCAGAGCAAATCATAAATGTATCATTGCCATATTGATACTAATTATAGAACAGGCTGACACCATTCTGGTGTCTAACTATTCAGTGCTTGAAATTTCACGATTTTATCTTTGTGCAATAATTGCTACCACCTCGATCAGTCTTGTGGAAACCATTCAAATTTATTATTATTAATTTTTTTTTTTTTTAGGTCCAATATAACATCATTGGTGCTATTCTGAATATTTGAAATTATAAGAATTTTATTGCCATTGAAATTAACAAATTGTTTGCAATGAAGTATGGAGGTCTATTAATGATTTAAATATATATAATTATATCAAAGAATTGTTGACTTCAAGTTCTTTTGACTCCCCCTTGTCACCAATGGTCAAACTTTTTCCACCACCTCACTTTTTCTATATTGTTGTAATAATTAATAGACGGCCCCTTAATGTTATTTTTAATTCTAAGAAATATATTCAGTTTAAGCTGCATGACGCAAACGTCTGTAATATCATTGGACGGATTAGAGTAGTTCTCAATCTTAATAATAAGCCACAAAATGGTGGAACCTATTTAATGCATATCTATATTATTTTCCTTCAGTGGTTTATTTGTATTTAATCTTTCTTGAGTCGTCATTTATTTAAACAGATTTCGTCATAAATCTGACCCGAACATGTTTGTCAGCGGGGGAAAAAAAAAGGTAGAACTTATTTCGGAGAAACGATAGAATGATAATCCTTTTTTGGAAAGTTAACAGAAGTTTCTTAAAAATAGCCATTGCAGTACATTGGTCTCAGTGGATAAACCAAAGCTAAAGTAGATTTAAAAATAGTTTCTGGTCATCCTGACATGTAATATATTAAATGTTGAATAATTAAATTGTTTTCATATGTTTAACAATTAATCTATGTACAGGCATTGCTACAATTTAGGAGAATTGCATTTAAAAGTGAAAAGAAAATAGAGAGAAATGGTGGGTGTGAGGAGAGAAAAACAAAAGAGCTCGCTAAAGTAAAAGTTGTACACGTTTATTGGTAGGTGTTGCGTGAGAAAAAAAAATATTTTGGTATCGATACCATACATAAAATGATATACTGGTTTATTTTAACAGTAATACTTTGCTGCATATAAAAGGATAGTACAGAAATATATATGTATATATTTTAAAGTACTTTTAGGAATTAACTGAATTGAATTTAAGAGTCTTGTCTATGAAATATTGGTGCTCTCTGTAATCATTTTAATACCCATCTTATTTATTATGTGCATAATTACGTCAAAAAATAGTTGGAGAAAGTGGGAAAGGTGAGAAAAGTTTGCCAATTGTTGACAGTCGTGAGGCCGGTGAGGAGTCAACAGAAAGAGAGAGAAAACGTTTTAAACCCTGACTCATTTGACTAGTCAAGGATGAGCTCAACCGGGTTCCAAATAAAATGAACAAGGAAATTGTGATAAAAATCAGTGCTATACGTATGTAACTGAAAACTTAAAGTATTTATTGGATTAGGGGTAAAGATGCGAAAAAAAAAGCAAAAATCTACTAACTATAATATTTAGAAATTATCAATTCTTTATTAAATTGAACATATTAACAATGTATGTAACCAAGCAAACAAGACCCTAGGGTTCTTAAGGCGAAATCTAAAGATTGGCAACTCCTGTGTGAAAGAAAGAGCATATAAAGCCTTTATCCGTCCGATTTCAGATTATGCATCTTCAGTCTGGGACCCATTTACCCAGAAGAGCATTGACAGGTTGGAGGCGGTCCAGCGACGAGCAGCACGCTTTGTCCTAAACCGCTACAGGAATACCTCAAGTGTTGGCAGCATGCTAGAAACACTAGGCTGGTCACCATTGGAGAAACGACGACGACAATCCAGGCTCTCCATGATGTACAAGATAAATAATGGGCTGGTCCACTGTTCCAGTATTAAACAGAAACTCGTCCCTCTCCCCCATAGACAGCGACGAGGCCATGACAGGCAATTCAGGCTCATACCAGCAAGAAGCCAGTATAGGAGCTGCTCATTCCTGCCCAAGACAATCAGGGACTGGAACCATCTTTCAAAAGGAACAGTTGAGGCGACAACACTAGACACATTTGTGTCTATTGCCTCAAGCCTTCAAACCCCTAGTGCATAATTTCCTCATCACCACCAGTAACAGAAACATTGCAAATCCCATCTACATGCATAGGAGCCAAAATGATCAATAAATTGATCGTGGGCCCTTAAGATATAGAAGAAGAAGAAATTCTGCGATATAAAATTGACCCTATGTCATAGATTCTAGTTTTTAATTTTTAACAGTTTTGTTAGTTGTTAAGAAGTTAATATAAATGTGTTTTCCCACCAATTTGTTTTCCGTCCAATTTTTGTATCTTAAGCAGTAAAAAAGATCCGTATTAATTCATATTCTTCATTGTCTTTGGTGTGGGGGGGGGGGGCAAAAGGGGGTCAAAATCTTTGACATAATTAATTATGGGGGTTCTTGAAAGTTTGACAGTTGTTGATAAGGGGGGTGGGAGGGGTAAAAAATTGTCTACAATCCTTTAAATTTAAAAACGAGTTAAGGTGCAAACTTCATGCAAAAGCAAGGAAGAAATACCATTCAAACCAATAACAAACATTTTAAAATAATATTATGATCATACAACAGGGGTTCTTAACTTGTTTGTAAAATAATATTATGATCATACAACAGGGTTTATTAACTTGTTTGTAAAATAATATTATGATCATACAACAGGGGTTCTTAACTTGTTTGTAAAATAATATTATGATCATACAACAGGGGTTCTTAACTTGTTTGTAAAATAATATTATGACCATACAACAAGGGTTCTTAACTTGTTTGTTCCATAGAAACCTTAGCTAGTCCGATGAAAGTCACTGACCCTTTATTAAAGGACATTTAAAAAAAAATAGGTCTTCTTATGGCATATAATAAAATTTACAAAAGGAAATGCAGCTCACTGACACCACTGGTACATATTTAGCTCCCGCAAAGTGTCCGTTGACCACAAGTAAGTAAACCCTGCACTACAATTCAGTTGAATAAAACAAACATATTTAATGGAATATTGTTGAAATTTACAAATAATGGTTATGTCCTTTCTAAATGTTTTTAAAAGTATTTTTTTTAGATTAAAAGTTTTCGCTTTACAATAATTACCGGTAATTGATAGACACAAATTAATGTGGCATATAAACCTATGATTTATAAATAATGCTTTTGTTATCTTTTATAGATACACATTTTTTTGTCGAACTAAGTTTGAATAAACGCCAAGAAGTGGGGAGCAACATAAACGGTAAGCATAGGAATTTCTATATTTATCAAATTCTTATGGTATCGATACTTTTTCTTTCTACCGGCGTGGAACATAAATACGATTGAAAAACAGCAACTCTAGCAGCTTGTTTCTGGATAGAAATAGGAGATAGTCTGTTTACAATGAGTGGAGAAGAAGCTGTAGGGTAAGAATAAATAATGTTTATTTAAAATTATATAAGATTCATTTCCACTCTGCTAAAGAAAGGTGTCGAGATGAAAATAATACCGAGCCTTGTAAATTACAAAATGAATTGAATGCCAGTCAATTTTGAATGTGAATCAATCATGGTTTGGTTTACGGTTTATCATTGTTGACAATATGACAATAAAATTATAATTTTTTAAAAAATGACTGAGATGTATTTATTATTTTGTAATTAATGATTAATGTAAATATAGTTAGTGTGGTGGTCGTGTGGCTGCATCTCAGCTGTAGTGGAGTAGTCTGTAATCACAAGACAAAATTCAATATTCAATTTCAATGTCAATAATCAAAATCAATAATAATATTGGCATTTTATTGGCATATATAATATTTATTATATTGTCTTGTTTTTGGGGGAATTTTATATTAATTATTGAATTCAATTAATTTAAATTGTTTTTAGGCTATTAGTTAATGTAGTCTGTAGACAGTTTAGACCACTATAGTAGTAGTAGTCGTCCATAGTAATCTGTAGTGTAGACATATAATCTTTTAGTAGACGTCGACTATACTATATGCAGTTTGTAGATCTTGACTTGTACTCCAAAGTAGTTAATTAATAATAGTAATAGACCTTGTCCAGATCCAATGTTAAAAATTAATGAAAATGGCAAATATACAATTAAATTTGTCTCAAGAAAGACAAAAGTAAAAACCTAGCTGGCTAGTCACTTGACTTGGTGTCACTTCGACGTTCGACCGTCTGAATGTAATTTAGTATTTAGCCTGACCAGCTTTTCTAATTCAAAATTGGACAGAACAATAACTTATAGATTAAAGTCTAGCAGCTAAGACTTAAGTAAAGTGAAAGTCTAAGGTATAGAGTAAGTCAGTACATTCAGTTCAGGGCTATTTAAAAAAAAAAAGTAGCTAAACAATAATCAGTAGGCCTTTTTAATGCAGCCTAACTTAAATTTAAAAACTTCATTAATATCTAATTTTATCATTAATTTAATTTTTGATGGTGGGGTGCGGGTGGGGAAGGGGGTGGCAGAGAAATATTTATCTATCAGCTGTGCATAGACATAATAGTGACTGACAGTCCAAGTTATTTTTTCAGGCTTCGTCTCAGAGCCTGAAAACCATAGTTATGGGGAAATAGTGAATCAATGTTAATAAAATTTAAGTAAAATCTTTACAGGCAAGATGGCCAGTCCATTTCTAAAAAGGCTCTCAAGAAACAACAAAAAGAAGCAGAAAAAGCAGCCAAAAAGGCCCAGCACAAAAAGCCGGATAACCAAGAGGTATTTATTTTTACCATTTATTTTATTTTTCTAAACTATAAACCTAAATTATATGAATTTCATAGTACCGTATAATGTAAGGTAATCTGTCAATAAGGATTTATATTTATTTTTAGTAGAATAGTTTAATTTCATAATAGAAATGACTTCATTTGCTTTCTCCTTGACTTAGTTTTGGCTTTAAAGGTTTTATTATTCAACATACAAAGAAAAACAACTATTGTGTCTAAATTAATCAATACTTGAATAAATTCATAGGCAGGGGACATAGATAAAGAGGACACTTCCAAAGGTCGCTATGGTGTTTTACCTCTCAATCAGTCGCAGGAGAGACTACAGCGTCGCTTATACAAAGTCTCTGAACTGCAGCCGAGCCTTTCTGGACAGACTGTTTGGGTTAGGGGCAGATTGCACACTTGTCGCAGCAAAGGTATCTTTGTTATCATACTTTATATTCATTATTGAAAAAAAAAAGCACGAACAGAAGAACCAAATCTAATTTTTCCAGACAGTTTTTTTTTTTTTTTTTACATTAAATTTAAGATCACAGAAAATTGTACGATTCCTTAGAAATAAGATCTTATCTCTGAAAACTACATCTCAGCTTTAGTAAGAAAAGTTATATATTCTTATTGCTTTGCCAGACATAATTTTAGATTCTCTTAAAAATTAAGTAAATTTAATAGTATTAATATATTTAAAAAAAATAAAAAACCAATATCTTTTCTCTACAAAGGCAAACAGTGTTTCTTTGTAATAAGGCAGCAGAAATGGACAGTTCAAGTGATGGCAATACAGAGTGAGACCATTAGTAAACAAATGATCAAGTTCATCTCTGGGTAATCAGTGTTAGCAAAATTAATTAAACATGACTAAAGTATGCAGTTAGAAAATACAACTAAGCTGAACAACTTTTTTTCAAAACATTGGAACCCCAAATTAGGTTGCGACCGAAAGGCTTTGCACCCCTGTCATAGTCAAGTGCTCAAAGTCATGTAACCCCATATTTAGGGACTATTTCCGAAATTACTACCCTTTTTTTTTTAACGAAGAATATAATTGTAAAATAAATACATTTTATTTGAAAGTTTTTGTTTGCTGCAACAATAATAAGCATTGAGGAACAAGTTAATAAAGTAAATTAAAATATTTGAAACTTGCTTGATGAACTTAAAAAGTAGATTGTCTTTGCTTCACTTAAATTCACCCGATTGTGCATGTATTTTAGTATATGAGATAAATTATGCACCAAGTTCATATTAGGTTTATAAATGTTTTGTATGTCCCTTTTGGGGTTTAATGAAATTTTGTAAAAAAAATTGTATGACTCCATTGGATTATAGAAGCAGTAGTTGCATTGTATGTCTCCATTGGATTATAGAAGCAGTAGTTGCATTGTATGACTCCATTGGATTATAAAAGCAGTAGTTGCATTGTATGTCTCCATTGGATTATAGAAGCAGTAGTTGCATTGTATGACTCCATTGGATTATAAAAGCAGTAGTTGCATTGTATGTCTCCATTGGATTATAGAAGCAGTAGTTGCATTGTATGACTCCATTGGATTATAGAAGCAGTAGTTGCATTGTATGACTCCATTGGATTATAGAAGCAGTAGTTGCATTGTATGACTCCATTGGATTATAGAAGCAGTAGTTGCATTGTATGACTCCATTGGATTATAGAAGCAGTAGTTGCATTGTATGACTCCATTGGATTATAGAAGCAGTAGTTGCATTGTATGACTCCATTGGATTATAGAAGCAGTAGTTGCATTGTATGACTCCATTGGATTATAGAAGCAGTAGTTGCATTGTATGACTCCATTGGATTATAGAAGCAGTAGTTGCATTGTATGACTCCATTGGATTATAGAAGCAGTAGTTGCATTGTATGACTCCATTGGATTATAGAAGCAGTAGTTGCATTGTATGACTCCATTGGATTATAGAAGCAGTAGTTGCATTGTATGACTCCATTGGATTATAGAAGCAGTAGTTGCATTGTATGACTCCATTGGATTATAGAAGCAGTAGTTGCATTGTATGACTCCATTGGATTATAGAAGCAGTAGTTGCATTGTATGACTCCATTGGATTATAGAAGCAGTAGTTGCATTGTATGACTCCATTGGATTATAGAAGCAGTAGTTGCATTGTATGACTCCATTGGATTATAGAAGCAGTAGTTGCATTGTATGTCTCCATTGGATTATAGAAGCAGTAGTTGCATTGTATGACTCCATTGGATTATAGAAGCAGTAGTTGCATTGTATGACTCCATTGGATTATAGAAGCAGTAGTTGCTAACTTTAAAAAATGTTTGTCACTTTCTAGTTCATTTAAATAGTGCAGCATATCTGTAATGATTTATGAGAGCACGCCTCATGTGGTTAACAACAGCACTTGTTAAATGGATCTTATATTTAGTAAAGCTGTATAGGAATTCTTTATAAAGGCATATCATAATTATGTATGCTGTTTTAGTGTCACTATGTTTTATTAGTTGCCTGTTAGTCTAAAAAAAAATGTTTGTTTGCTGTGTTATTGCAATTAATGAACTAACTTTTCTATTTTCCACAGAGTGACTGCTGAATCAATTATTGATGTTGAAGGTGTGGTCCAAACTGTGGGTCAGAAAATTCAATCATGCACACAGCAAGGTGTGGAGCTGCACATACAGCAGGTATAATATTCAGACAGGAAATGTTCAGTTTCACAAAGTCACATCATGACTTGAGTCTTTAACACGAACAATTCTCCAGTAGCTTTTAAAGTTATGATTAAAAGTCAATCACTTCCAGGCTCTTGAATGAAGTTCATCTATCTTACAGACCTGTTTACTCTTACGATTTCGGCTTACAATGTATGATTTTGAGGTGTATACATTATATATATTGTATGTTTATTTTTTTACTATTAAGATAATGTATTGAACAATTTTGTGATGATATTGTACGATTTTAAGAGTTGGAGAGTAAACCGGTCTGATCTTAAAGGATTAGTCAGTAAGATGTGTAACAATATGCCACAGCGTCACCTGTCTACATCATTAATTGATTGTTGTATCAGCGTAGCAAATTTTTATAAAAATTAATTCAAACAGATATGCTGCACTCTGCAGCCAGAACTATACAGTTTTTATAACAAATTCATCGATGTTTTTAATTTGATTCAGATTTATATTTTTGTCTTCTACTTTTTACTATTGATTTACATAATTACCAATGCATACCTGATCAAGCTAGCCTCGTTCTGAACCACCGTCGCCATTCATGTAAATTTGATGGCGCATACTGCACAGTGAATGTGTATCAAGGAAATGCAACAAGACTCAGAAAAATCCTCAACATTTAATGGCAGGACAGGGTCCCAGACACGGAGGTGCTTGCACAGGCAGGTCTCCCCCGCATCATGCAGTCCCAGGAAGCTGGGACATGTTTTGAGAATGTCAGTCGACGTCGGCTCTAAAGAATTTTCTATGGTGAGCTCAAACAAAGAAGGCGGTCTGCTGGTGGGCAGACGAAACATTTTAAAGGCAACCTAAAAGCCTCACTGAAAGCGTTCAACATAAACCCAGACACGTGGGAGAAAAAAGGTAAGGATCGGACATCATGGTATTCCACTTTACACAGGAGCTCCATGCAAGATGAAGTTAGCAAAACAGCGGCTGCAGAGCGCAAAAGACATGCCAGGAAGACCCAGTCTGACTCTCCTCCTGGAGATGCCCCATCATTCCCCTGCACCTACTGCACAAGAAAATTATGCGCCAGAATCGGCCTAATCAGCCATCTGCGAACCCACAAATCTGATGATTAAGTGGTCATGGTCGACTTCCTACTGAGGAACAACAACAAAAAAAAATAATGTAAATAAATCTCATTTCTATAGTTTATTATAAAGGTAGTAGTTATTTATTTTTAATAATGTTTTAATCGTTATGTCTAAACGTCAGTTAAGCGAACTGCTTTGCTAAGAAAGAATGTAGATCAAATTTTAAAATGGAATGGCTCAATGAATTTGTGCAAGCAGCACTGCCAGCTTGGTCGTTGGAGCGGACTGTCAAGCTGGGTGATAGTTTTTAAATATCGTGAAGATGATGATGATGTCTGTGAGATGTGCCTCAAGGCTAATGCCGGTGGGGATTTCTCCACATGGAAAATATGTCAAGCTTGGAAGCTGGATTATCTTAAACGACATATCCAGCAAAAATAAACACAGATGCTGGACAGAGGCTTCGATCTGTACAGTCAGGAGGTGTATTGCGAATGCTGATTGAGGCGTGAGACAAGAAGCAGCACAACGTAAAAGTGCTTAAGAAGACCTGGTTAAAATTTTGATTGACAACGTCCTCTTGGCTATCAACTGGAACACATCTATGAATCCGGTTCAATACATACACAGCCAGTCCCTGATAGCTGGCGCAGTAAGAATTACACTTTTGAGTTTGTTCATTCTATTGATTCTGAAGTGAATGATGCTATAATTAGCGAACTTTTCAATGCACAGTTCCACACATTAACAGTAGATGAGAGCACTGATAGATCGCTGAAAAAGATGATGAACTTACACGCAAAGTTTCGGCCATATCCCGGCAATGTTTACAAGACAGTGTTTGTTGGAATTTTATCTCTGTCGGCATGAGGCGGTACATCGGTGGAATCAGCAATAACAGAGTTTTATCAAGGGAATTCATTAAACATTCACAAATGGTTATGTTTACTTCTGATGGTGCATCGGTTATGCTAGGCAAGAAAAATTGGTTGCAGTAATTTTTTGCCGACGTATTCCACATCTACTGGAACAACACTGCGTTGCTTATTGTGAAGATTTAGGCATCGATGATGCTTGCAAACATATAAGTTTAATAGCAGACATTGAAACATTCTTAGAACAGTGTAAAAATTGTTCAGTAAGTCGACTGTACGGAAAGCCCAGTTTACTGAACTAGCTAAGGTGTTGGAATTTGATTTCGTAGCCATTCCGTATGTCATTCCATTGAATGAGATCAAGTGGCTTTTGCGTCACTTTGCGTCACGGAGCAGTGCTGAGAAACATACAAGTGTTGACTGGATGTGGGCCGGCATAGTGATCCAGTTCCTAAGTACTGTTTGAAGAAACTAAGGGATCTGCAGTTTCAAACTGCCTTGATTGCCTTTGGTGAAGTTGTTGGTGAACACTGCCTTGATTGCCTTTGGTGAAGTTGTTGGTGAACACTGCCTTGATTGCCTTTGGTGAAGTTGTTGGTGAACACTGCCTTGATTGCCTTTGGTGAAGTTGTTGGTGAACACTGCCTTGATTGCCTTTGGTGAAGTTGTTGGTGAACTTGATGAATTATGTTATGCAAGCTGCTACAAACTGCCTTGATTGTCGTTGGTGAAGTTGTTGGTGAACTTGATGAATTAGGCAAGCTGCTACAAAGAAAAAATCTTACGACCATCGAGGCATATCGGTTTGTAAAAGCAAAGATCACTAAGCTTCGTGCCCAGCACCTTGGTGAAAATGTGCACTGGTCCGAAGAGGTTGCTGAATTGCTTGCAAATGACGAGGATATAAACATGAGTTCCATCCTAAAATTTGTTGAGTGTTTATGTTTGCCCCTGGCTTCTCGTTTCCCTGAAAGTGAGTTGATGCAAAGGCGAATCTTTGAGGATAGAGATTTAATCGACACTTAGATTTTAATTTTGGTCAAGAAGAATTTGCAGCACTGATTTCTGGATATGCGACATTCCTGGAAAACTAGGATGACATTCTGCCAACAATTAAGGATCAGTATCGTAACTTAAGATTTGTGCTTGCAGGAAAAATGAAATGTGGGTTGATGCAGACTTTTTACGAGATGGTTCGATTTGTGATAAATGAGGAGCAATTTGGTGACATTGCCATTCTGTTGGTTTTTGTGCTACTGTTTTTTTTGCTACATTTCTTACATTAATCGCTGATTATGAATGTGGATTCAGCCTAATGAATAATATAAAAATAAATCTAGGAATAGGCTGGAAGAGTTACATTTAGGCATGCTTATGAGGATTAAATCGTATCAGAATGATGGACATCAGGTCAACCTTGACGATATGTGTAAAAGTTGGAAATAGTTGAAAGACAGACGCCAGAGTACCTCCAGAAACGAGTCAATCAAATAACTAGCGGCCATTGGTAATGGATATGTTGGAATTTATTGTTTGACCCAACGATGGGATAAATAATAGAAATAAATAAAGCTTTGATTGAACTATTGTGACATTTCTGATTATAATTATTTAATTATGGTTCCTTTAATTTATTTATTCATATAAAAGTTTTTGCACTTAACTTGTGTGTATGTTTGTGGGCTGTAAAATTTTGTACACAAAAAATGGTTGATTTTGCACAGGAACCAGCAAACCTTAGAGGGAACATTGAATGCAAGTATTTTACAATTTCAGATTTGGGTAGTGAGTGCAGCTGAACCTAGACTCCCACTCCTCATTGAAGATGCTAGCCGTCCTGAAGGAGAAGGTGTAAGTTGATCATTTGTTTATTTGCATTAAAAACACTATGTCATTGTTTAATTACCTAAATATTAGACTTTTATTTTCAATACTATTTTAAAAAATAATTTTACATACCAATTTCTCAATTTTTATACGGGATGTATGATTTTAAACATTTTTCATATCAATTTCTCAAGTTTTAGACTTAGATATGATTTATCCAATATATGAAATTTCTTTTAGTCGTAGTCTCTTCATTTATGATTATGGTAAAAAATATATTGTATACATTTCTAAGTTAAATGTAAATTGTTAAGACATAGAAAATAATATGGTAAAAAATATATTGTATACATTTCTAAGTTAAATGTAAATTGTTAAGACATAGAAAATAACCTCATAATAAATAATAAATGTGTCTGGTGAAGGCTGTCTAGAATGAATGTATCTGGTGAGGGCTGTTCATATTAATTTAAGAGTGAAAGAGAATCTTAATCTTGATAAGTCATTTTCTATCGTGCCATGACAAATTTTTGTATCTTCAAGGAGCTTGCCACTGTCAACCAAGACACAAGACTGGACAACAGGGTTCTTGATCTACGTACTTTAGCCAATCAGTCCATATTCAGACTGGAGGCCGGTGTGTGTCGTCTCTTCCGTGACTACTTGACAGCCAAAGGTTTTGTAGAGATTCATACCCCAAAAATCATCTCAGGTGAGCCCATAATATGTTAGCCTAGAATAAGAGCTGCACCCCTTGACTGTTTTTTTAAAAAAAATGAATCATAGCTTAATGCATTAATTTAAACATTTTTAATTCCTTGAATATTCCTAAAAATAACTATATTATAGGAGAAATCTCACACTCAAGTTTACATTTATCTTTTTTTTCCACAAATAAATATTTAACCGGCGATTTACTTTTTAAAACAAGCTTGATTTCAAAGTCTCTTCCCATGTAGATAAATTCAAGTCTATGAAATGGTGCATTAATTTACAGAGAACTAATCCTGCTCCCAAATTTTTTAAAGTTTGTTTTTCAATTATTTCTTTTGTATAAATACATTCATCAAGTAAAATGTCTCTAGAAATCAGCAGTAATTTCATTCAATGAATTCATGTCTTTGGGATATGGCGTCAGAGGAAAACATTCAATGAATTCATGTCTTTGGGATATGGCGTCAGAGGAAAACATTCAATGAATTCATGTCTTTGGGATATGGCGTCAGAGGAAAACATGTAATTTTCTGTGAGAAAAGAGCGAGTAGATTGGTCGTGCTTTCATGTTCTTGGCAATTTAAAAATAAAATTTTAAAAATTCTAGTGAATTGAAAACAAAGAAATTATTATTAAAAGTATGCTATTTTAAAAAAAAATTGTATTATTGTTTTAATGAGTGCTGCTCAACTTACTGGAATTGAGTTTAGAAACAAGAAACAGGATTTTGGAACCAACCATAAATGAAAAGAGACAATGGCAACCAAGGGCAAGCTACTCTGTTTTACAAAAATTTGGACATACTAGTGAATATTATATTTCTGTACTCTTCTCGCAGCTGCATCTGAAGGAGGTGCCAATGTATTTGAGGTGACCTACTTTAAAACCAAGGCCTACATGGCCCAATCTCCGCAGCTGTACAAGCAGATGGCCGTGTGTGCTGAGTTTGACAAGGTTTTCACAGTTGGTTCAGGTATGGAACTTTGTCTAGAGAACTTAAGGTCAATGCAGGGTTAAGGTTATTGAAGGTGACCAATAATGAGCCAATGTTAAATTAATTTTTTGAGTCAATCAACCCAACAATGGAAAGTTCATGGTTTTTAAAGGAATTCAAACAATCCCCCTCACAAAACTGAGTTTTTAGTCATTAACTTGATTGGACCCTGCGAGGACTTGTCTGGAACTGCTTTATGCTGATGTATTACATTGCTACAGGTGATACCGCTAAACAGGACTGTAAAGATGAAGTTATCTACAGTACTCTCGATAGAAATAAACTCAAGTATTAGGTTGGAGAGCCTTTATTTTAACCCACTCTCTTATTTTGAAACCATTTTTTATGGTTTCAACCCACAGTAAACTAATTCCCCATTTTAACCTCCCTTCTATTTTGTAGTGTTCAGGGCAGAAGATTCAAATACACATAGGCACTTGACAGAGTTCATTGGCCTAGACCTTGAGATGGCCTTCAACTATCATTACCATGAGGTTTTGGAGGTCATTGGCGATATGTTTGTCAATCTTTTCAAAGGTTTACAAGAGCAGTAAGTTGACACAATTTAGCATGGTTTTTTTTTGGGGGGGTTGGTTTTTACTTTATATGATTATAAAATATTGTGGTTGGTCTCAGCAACTGGGGTTAAAAAAAAAAATAATCATTTTGATCTTATGACTAAAATTAACACTGAATTCTTAATACAAAATTTTAGACACACACAATAAAACATGTTTGAAAAAACTTCCCTCTTTCATGAGTCAAATATTTTTTTTGGACATGTATTTTGATTTTAAAATTATTTTATTCTATTTTGTTGCGTACCGGTACTTAAAAAGGCTTTTTAAAAAATTAATGAATACAATAATCCCATTTCCTAAATTGTTTGTTACTTTTTTTTATGAAAGCAAGTCCTTAAAAACTCTTTGCCTTTTTTCCTCAGGTATGCTGAAGAGATAAGCTTAGTTAACAAGCAATACCCTGCTGAGCCCTTCAAGTTCCTGGAGCCAAGGTATTGAACTTGTCTTTGATATTTTGTGACTAAAAGATCTATTAAAATTATTTTCCAAAGCTCAACTCTTCTAGAAAGTAAGTGAAACAATTCCATCATCTTTATGATATGAAAAGTTCTGTGTTTAAGTTTCCTGGGCACAGTTTTATATAAAGATCCCTTTAGTTACTTTGTTCAAGTTCTTGCTCTAGTTATAGTCAATATATAGTTGTCATTCGTTTGCGTCGGTATGTTACAGCAGGATGTGTTGAGTCATGTTTTACACCATGGTGTGTTGAGCCATGTTTTACACCATGATGTGTTGAGCCATGTTTTACACCATGGTGCGTTGAACCATGTTTTACACCATGATGACTCAGCACATCTTACTTTTAACATGCTATATTTTGCCTTAGTTTGCATTGTTCTTGGGAGTATTGGCTGATAATGGGATTCGAACCCTCGGCTATCAATATATTTGTCCTATGTCTCATGGGCTGACAGCCACCAAATTTGTATATGTAGTTGATTGATCTGTTTGCCTCTTGGTGTGCTACATTAATATTTCATAGCCTGCCTTGCAGGCTAATTTAATCTTCTTCCTTCTTGTCTTGCCCAGTTTAATTCTGAACTACAAAGATGGTGTAGAGATGCTCCGACAGGCAGGGATAGAGATGGGAGATGAAGAGGATCTGTCAACACCCAATGAGAAACTGTTGGGCAGACTGATCAAGGCAAAGGTGGGCATTGTTTTGTCTAGTAGTTTGTTTAACTTGGTAAACACGACTGGAAATCGTACCAGTTATATCAATCTTAGAACACACCTGTCATCAGCAATCTTGGAAATGCTCTTAATAGTTTTCAACAGACAATGTCAGTCAAAAAGGTTTAGTTACAGATTTAAACAGCAGTCTTTAACTCATAGCACAGCTTATGTGGCAAGTGTTCCATGAAAGTTACCTTAAGATAAATCTGTATATTTAATTTATTTTTGTCAAATGACTGACACTTAAAGAAAAAAACGGTTAAATTTTAATGGCTATGTTATTGATAATGGATTTTTTAAATTTATTTTTTTTTCAAAGGAAATTAAAAGTGTTTTGTTATTTTGGATGTTTCACATATTCTCAGTACGACACCGACTTCTTTATTCTGGACAAGTTTCCTTTGGCAGTGCGACCGTTCTACACAATGCCTGACCCAACCAATCCTGTAAGTTGAATAGTAATATTTAGTTCATGGATTTATTTTGTTTTACTACTTATCACATTGGTACCAAAAAGAACCCCCAAGACAGTAACTGAGACATATGTTTATTGTTCTGACTTAATATGTTCTTCCTTTCTTTGCTAAAGTTATTCTCTTCTCTCCCCCCCCCCCTTTTTTTTTTGTGTGGCTATATTTTGTCCTGAGTTGCTATAACACTGAAATAAAAATGACTAAACTTACATTTATGGTCTATTTAAAAAATAACTTGATGCAAATCTCTCAGAAATGGTCAAACTCATACGACATGTTCATGAGAGGGGAGGAGATTCTGTCTGGTGCCCAGCGTATTCATGACCCAGAATTCCTCAGCAAAAGAGCAGAACTTCATGGATGTCGTGAGTGATCTTTCTTGGGGGGGGGGTGGGGGGTTGTGCCTGTTGTAGTTGGATATTATTTGTATTGTGGTGAGATGTTGGTTACATAACTTCATTTGTATTAGTGTGAAGTTGTATCACTTTTAATTGTTGTGGTACTTTACATAACTTCATTTGTAATTGTACTGGTATGTTACTATTTTTTGTTACTTAGCTTCACTTGTATTGTATCAGCACAATAGGATGTTTTTATCTGTTTATTTTCTTCATCAGAACTGGACAAGATCAAAGGCTACATTGACAGCTTTAGGTACGGTGCTCCTCCCCATGCAGGTGGTGGTATTGGTAAGTTATCTTTTCTTGGTTCAGTTCTTTATAACTCTTGTTACTTGTTACTCTTCACTGTGTCTTGCCAAATTGATCTATTTACCCCTCACCTACAGTGTCTTGTCAATGTGTCCGTTTGTTACATGATCATCTATCATTCTTGCTAAATTTATTTTGGTTATGTTTTTCACTATAACTTATCGATTAATCTTTTTCCATCTGTCAAAAAACACTTTGAATAACATTTCTTAAATACCATTTTAGAATTACATTTGTAGCTGTTTAACATGTTATTTTCTTATGTCAGGCTTAGAGAGAGTCACCATGCTGTATCTTGGACTGGACAACATCAGGAAAACTTCACTGTTCCCTCGTGACCCCAAACGTTTGACACCCTAAATTATATTGTTCTCCACTTTGCAGTGGATTAAACACTGCTTGACTGAATGTGTGCAGTGTTTCCATTACATGAGGCTTCAAAACCATTATATAATATTTATTGTTTATTTCAAGTAAACATTCATTTGCTGAAACACGTTATCAAAAGAAACAGTGAAGAATTCTCCTATTCTCTTGTCTATGCTTGCAAGTATTTTTTTCATATTCTTCATATTCATTCTATGTTTGCTGTCTGAAAACTCTATCCGCATTTTTAAAATAAATGGTTGACATAATCAATTACCTATTATTGCAACAGATACCTTGAAATATCTAACAAGATGGTGCTCAGCAAGTCATAAGGATGCGCCATTTAAGTCATCAACCGCATTCATTTACCATCATTCTATTTATGATACAGCTTAATGTAAAATAAATTAACAATGTTATATTGTAACTTTTTTCTTCTTCTAAGTCATTACTCAATAATTTAAAAAATTGTTTAAAAATGTCTTTTCAAATTAATGACTATTTCAAAGTAATCCCCCCTTGAAAGATCTGTTCAAAAGATCTGTGTTACCAGGGCCAAAGAATTCTTGTGATTTATTGAAACATCTTGATCTTTTTATTTAATTTTACTGACTTTTTTTTTTCATTCTGTTTTTTTAAAACTTACCAAACCCAGATATTTTTCTGATGTGTGCCTCCCTGAACAGTTAAATAAACATTCAGTTCAACTGTTGAGGTGCTATTGTTGCAAGTGTTATAATTCTTGTTTTAAACCTTGTATTGTATCCGCGTTAAGGTTACTCTTGATCGTCAATGTTGTGCCAGAGTGGCTTGAGTAAGTAATAAAAAAACAACTTACATTTAAATATAATTTATGAGAAAAACTTTGAGTGTATATTATTATTATTTCTGTCTGAACATGTTTTGAGTAAAGACTTTGTAATCAACATAAAGTTTTCTTCAAATGAAAGTGAGCAAAACTTATTTTTCAATTTGAATAAAATACCAGTACCTGGAATTCTTCATTAGAATAAATTAAATTATGGAGGGTGGCCAGGTTTTGAAAGTTAATTACATCAAGTTGAGCACCAACGTGGCATATAGGTGGTTGTCTTATGCACAAAATACACATACTTAATGTGCAACTAAGGTGTCATTTAATTTTACATAAATTATCATTCATCAAGCCTAAAGTGTTCTAATGGAAAGAAAAGGAAAAACACTCATGGTTAGTAGGTTTTTAAACAATGAACCCATTTGTCTGCTTTATATTTGTCAAATGTTGTATGTAAGCAGCTTTTTTTAAATCATTGCCAGCACATACAAAATGGATATTAATGTAATATTACTTAAAATAAAGGTGCAGGAATAAAAGAAACTTTATCCACTTGACTCATAACATTGTTGTAATTTTTGTTCTGTTTATTTTTCAATGTGGATGAATAAGTAGGATGACTTTGACAGGAACATTTCTGCCTTCCATTTCCAAAAACAATCTCAAATATTGGCCATTAATTTTGAACATGAAATTCAATCATTTTTGATTTCAAGAGTTGAAATAACTGATGCAATCAATGAGACACAACTCCTTCCTTTCACTTTACAGAAAGAAATTCTTGTATTTCATTTCCATCTTAATTGATGTGATGACAAGACTTAAAATTATTACAATATTGATTGCATGATAGAATGAATATTATTCCTTATAATTTATATTAGGGACTAGTGGGGTAGCTAAACTTAACCCCCCCCCCCCCATGCTATTGGTGGGAAGTGTCTGCCCTTATATAGTGAATATTATTCCTTATAATTTATATTAGGGACTAGGGGGGTAGCCAAACTTAACCCCCCCCCCCCCATGCTATTGGTGGGAAGTGTCTGCCCTTATATAGAAAAAGGTACCATCCTACCATCCCCTCCATCCTTCCTACGCCAGTGGTAAGGGCCATCCATATGTTTCAATTGGAAAGTATTAGGAACACCCCCTACCCCCCACTTTCCCCTTGATGCATCCTTGCTCATTTGGAAACCTGACTTTTTTGTACATATAATGAGCTCTCAGATCCCCCTCCCCTCAAACCATAAAGAAAATTATTCATAATTTTACATGATAAATGAAGTCAACGTATTTCCTATCTTGTAGTGTAACCCTCGTATGGAGACAGACAATTTGTAGATTATGGAAGGACATAGTCTATGGGACATGCCAAAGGGGGGTAGGGGGTGAGCGGTCTGCCCTGGGCAGCATTTTGGCTAACTACATAGTTTTTCATGACTTTGGGTAACTAAAATATTGTGGAGGGGGGTCCGGGTTCAAAGTCCCTAGCTTTGCCAAAGTTCTGGGTTATAAGAAATGAATTTGTTTCAAAAATGTTTAAAAAGGAAAAAGGGGGGCTTTATAATGTGAAGCCATGATTTCTTTTTTAAAGTTAAAAACCTCTATTTTTTCCATTTATTGCAGTACAAAGCAAATTCCCTTATTTTAATCAGTTCTATCAAACAACAATTGTGAAATCTTAAGACCTAAACAAAAAAAGGCAGCAAAATGAAGTTTGATTTTGTTGTAAAATAGCATCAAGACACCCCCCCCCCAACCCCTTTCTTTCAACAGAGGCGCTGTTTGGTTCAGCCCTACAAAATGATTATGTCACTCAAAGCAGCAGTATGCTAATAAATCTGTCATCTTTTAGTACTTTAAAAAAAATATATGGAGTTCAAAGATTTTTACGTGACAGTTGGCTTTATTAGAATTATTACAGACTCCACCACCTCCAGCCTAGTACCAGTACACATACCCTCCATACATTTGGCCTTGACCGATGCAGCAGTGACGAAGCACAGCCCTGAAGATGTTCAGAAAGCGGCTGCCCTTGAGACCATGGCTGTGTTCTCGAACATACCAGTGAAAGTGTTCACGGACGGCTCTGCCAACCTGAGAGAAAGAACTGCTGGGTATAACAGGAGGACCACCAAATGAAGAACTCTCTGAGTCCTGTGGGGTTGCAGCATCAAACTTTGAGCTTGAGGCTATACACATGCAGACAGCAGAGCTAAGTGACGCAGATGCACATTGCGCATTGCCCTTACTTCTAGCAGCTAGATAACAACAGGGACCCTGCCTGCTGACATTGCAGCCTGGTCACTAGCGCACCTGTTGACCGAATGTCCCTCACTAGATGTCCTGGGGGAAGCCAGGGTGGCTGGAGAGCATTACGTGAGGAAAATGTTGTATGGCTCGGCTCAGCAGATGGATTTGGTAGCCAATTTACAAGCCGGGGTCATAAGAGGGTAATCTCAGACCCTCACCAGAATATGTCTGTTAGTATGCAACAACCCCCAGAGTGAGTACATAGTCAAAAGATGGACCCATATCATACTGATTTAGATTTAGGGACTCTTCATTGATTTATTTTCTGGCATTTCACCACATTGTAAATTTCCGTATGTGCCTCCAACACTGAGGTGTGGGGTGGGGGTTAAGCCACATGCAGACATGTGTATTTGTGTGAACATCCCTTAAGGACAACCCTTTATGTGCACACACAAAAAACTATGAAGTATGGCGGATTAAGCTTTGCGCATCCTATGGAATGCCGTATTTTTTAAGATAGCTTAGACTGGTACTACTTATAGATTTGCTATTTCATACATGATTCAAACATTTAATTTTATTTACACTTACATACACAAATACATTCTTCTTTACATGACGCCCAGTCTATTCCATAGGTCTCAAACTTAACCAGCCAAAATATTTTCATGAGACCATAAAGATATTGACAGTTTAAGGGCTCCAACACACCCAATCATGCTCCAACACACCTAATCATGCTCCAACACACCAAGTCATGCTCCGACACACCAAGTCATGCTCCGACACACTTAGTCATGCTCCGACACACCCAATCATGCTCCGACACACCAAGTCATGCTCCGACACACTTAGTCATGCTCCGACACACCTAATCATGCTCCAACACACCAAGTCATGCTCCAACACACTTAGTCATGCTCCAACACACCAAGTCATGCTCCGACACACCCAATCATGCTCCAACACACCTAATCATGCTCCAACACACCAAGTCATGCTCCGACACACTTAGTCATGCTCCGACACACCTAATCATGCTCCAATACACCAAGTCATGCTCCAACACACTTAGTCATGCTCCAACACACTAAGTCATGCTCCAACACACTTAGTCATGCTCCAACACACCAAGTCATGCTCCAACACACTTAGTCATGCTCCAACACACCAAGTCATGCTCCAACACACTTAGTCATGCTCCAACACACCAAGTCATGCTCCGACACACCCAATCATGCTCCAACACACCTAATCATGCTCCAACACACCAAGTCATGCTCCGACACACTTAGTCATGCTCCGACACACCTAGTCATGCTCCAACACACCAAGTCATGCTCCGACACACTTAGTCATGCTCCGACACACCTAATCATGCTCCAACACACCAAGTCATGCTCCGACACACTTAGTCATGCTCCGACACACCTAGTCATGCTCTGACACACCTAATCATCCTCCAACACACCAAGTCATGCTCCGACACACTTAGTCATGCTCCGACACACCTAGTCATGCTCCAACACACCAAGTCATGCTCCGACACACTTAGTCATGCTCCGACACACCTAATCATGCTCCAACACACCTAGTCATGCTCCAACACACCAAGTCATGCTCCAACACACTTAGTCATGCTCCAACACACCCAATCATGCTCCAACACGCCTAGTCATGCTCCAACACACCTAGGCATGCTCTAACACAGCTAGTCATGCTCCCACACACCTAGTCATACTCCAGCACAACACACCTATTATGACACTTTTTCAAATTTTTCACTCGAGTTCTCAAGAGCCAAACAAAACATTCAGAAATATTGGCTCCATTTATTTATGTTTTATAACAGCTCCAACATGGCTAACATTTACTAACAATCATTTAGTAATTTGCCTTACTTGAGTCAAACTCAATCTACATCAACATAGCTTATGAATACAGAGATGGTTATCAACATTTTCAACACTGTACATACAAGCAAGAGATACATTTTTTAATAACAAATCATGTCAAACATCTTTAAAGGAATAGGAAGACATTGTTTTAAAAACCAGTTTCATGTACGTTATCAGTATTGAGTATATATTTAATTTAAAAAAGTTAAATTTCACGAAGTTGTTTCCAAAAATTCTTCAATTTAACAACAATAAAGTTTTAAAAATGTTTGGTGATGATATTCCTCTATGTAATGGAACAATCTTTCCCTTAGCTCTGTTGTGCTTTGTGTTCTTGAAGAAATTCTTTCAAAGTTGACTGATCAACAGGAATGGTCAAGTGTTCTATACCTTCAAAGTTCTGGAGAAAAAATATAACGAAGCTGTTAGCTAACTACAGGGGACGACAGACTGACAAAATTTATTTTAAAAAACAATCCACATGAATGAGTTCCTGAGTTAAAAAGCAAGACGGTACAAATATTTCTATATGCTTTTTATAAAAATAGAATCATTAGAGTATACTCTACTTTGTTCTCTCACCTTTTTAGAACGAATCAACCTATGATCTTTGAACTCGACAAGCTGTGCTTGCAAGGTCAGGTCACTGTTGACAAGGAATGCTTCACGACACTTGTGATACAAACTTTGAAATGACATGCCTGGAACAAAACATCATTGGGTCAAATGATCTAGACCATGAGAAATCCCTTGTCATAGACAGTTGTCAATACCCCCCCCCCCCCATCATTGTTCTGTATCTTATCATTACTATCTAAACTTTCTTCAGATTTAATGATAGAATCTTTGCGTCCTTATTTGGTCTCCAATGTTTCCTCAAAACTTTTTGTTCAAATTTATGAAAATGTTTAAGATTGTTTACTTCTCAATTCTCCTGTGGTTAATAGTTTAAAAAGGTGATGCAATCTGCGTCTATCTCTCTCTCTCTCCCACGACATTATTTGTAGTTCATAATCTACAGCAGAGCTTCTCAAACTTTTCAGTGTTGCTGACCAGCAGGAATTTATTTACTTTGTAGAAGAGACACAGAATAATTTTAACTTTCTTCAATTTTCTACACTTGTGGCTAGGGACCATTAGTTTGAGGTGGTCTACCGGTAGACGGACAACTAGTTTAAGATGCTTTGAAAAATATTCGCATACCAGTAACATAATAAGTCATTATTTAATGATTTCAATAAAATAATTAAAAGCTGACCTGCATAATTTGGGTTGCCTCCCATCTCTAACTGATACTCGGCCAACATTAGGAAAACTTGCCGAGCATTAGGGGTCAAGCTCCGCATGACATGCACTATTGAGCTCAGAGCCAGCGAGCCCGACTGTTGAACCATCAGTGAATT